CTGTGCCGTTTGGACCCGGTCCCAGCCCCCCCCCGCCACCTGTCCCCCCCCCGCTTGCCCCGCCTGCCGCTCACTGATTGGCTGGCTCACCAATCGCCCTGCCCGCCTCTAAGAATCCTATCTAAACCTTAAAGTCTTAAAGCTGTCAAGTTTGAATATCCCTGGGGTTTTTTTCCTAAAGGGTTAGGGGTGCAAGGGTCTTATAACTTGACAGCTTCAAGACTTGCACACGTCAATGCCAGAGTTCCTGAGCAACATGACTGGAGGAGGAATTCTGGGAGTTGAAGTGCACAAGTCTTAAAGCTGTCGTTTGAACACCTCTGGTTTTTTTTTTTTCCTAAAGGGTTAGGGCTGCAAGAGTCTTGTAACTTGACAACTGTAAGACTTCAAATGCCAGAGTTTCTAAGCCAACATTTTGGTTGCTAAGCAAGAGCATTATTAAGTGAGTTTCACCACTTTTTACAAGTTGGCCATGCTCACCGAGTCACATGGCAGCAAGCCACTCCCACCCGGTCACATGGCCAGAAAGCCACTCCCACAAAGCAGGCCATAAATACCATTAGATACAAATAAAAGACTAGCATATTAATTGAAAACACTTTTTTTAAACTATGTATGCATGCATGAAGATACATATGCAGACACAATTCACCACACAATCTGGGTGATTTAACCTAATTTTTTTTTTATTTAAGAGACTTAAATAATAATATTATTGGGAAAGGTAGAAGAAAAGATAAGAGGATGACCGACTCAACTACAGCAGTGATGGATTGATTGATTGATTTACAGAACTTGCAACTTTAGAAAAGTTGATAGCCCAAAAGTGGATAGATTGCCTTGGAGAAGACCTATCTATAATATGTAATTGCAAAGAGTCAGCATTGACTTGAGGACACTAAATCATAAGCAATAAGCAATATAGACAATCATCATGATTTTAAAAGCAAAACAACACATATTCACAATTATTGGTATTACTCTGGTCAAGTTATCAATAACACAGACTGTTTGCATTATTGTCAGCTAAAGATGATTGTCACAGGCTTGCCACATCAGAGGCACTGAAGTAAGAAATGCATCTGACACTATAGACAAAAAAGCATACCATTAGCAAGACGGCTGGCATTGGGGTATGGCGTTGGATGTGGATCATAGAGAAGAGGGTGGGCCATTGCCCCTCCCTGGAAGCCACAAACAATGTCCTAGAAGTAGAAAAAGGGCTGTAAAAAAAGCTCACGAATGTAAGAAACATCACTAGTAGAAGCCTGGTAGATTTGAAACACATTTCATAGAGATAGTTTTATGCCATTCTTCAAATGATAGCTCTGAATGAAATCAGGCAATAATATTTTTAAAATCTAAACAATCAAAAACAGTCAGCAGAGTACCTCAAAATTCTCATTTCTCTTGTTTTAAAGGAATAGAATAGAATAGAATAGAATAGAATAGAATAGAATAGAATAGAATGTGTGATTGGACACACAAAGAATTTTTCTTTGGTGCATTGTACATAAAAACTATAATAAATCATGATCATAGTCATCATAAAAGACATTCATAAAAAATCATAAGATGACACCGTATTATCATAGGATACTAAAATAAAATATGCTTTATTTTATTGATTTTGATTTAATTAACTATTTATAGAATGATTGATTCCTCTTTTATCTAAATGGTTTCTATTTTCTAAGACATTCGGTAATTTTAGAGAAGACTGAAAAAGCCATCATTCAGGGTGTTTTATGCACAATCAAAATCTGCTCCTCCTCCTAAAAAGTTGGTAAATTTATTTCTGCTTATCAGCTGTATCAGCCCAGTTACTACTGTTTGCAAATCTAAGTTTATATATGTATGAACTTGATCAACAGTGATTTATTTAACAGTCCATGTTAAGCAAGGCAAGGCTCAGCATAATGTTCAACACCTAAAAAAGGAGTATATCCGTGAGAAAAACACAATTTTCTCCTCCTTTGCTTCAAAACATTAGAATAGATCATCTGAAGGAGACAATGACTTCATTCCTCCTCCGCTCGTCTTTTCCCCCTGAAATTCCCACTTCTCTTTTTTCCCCCACATGCATTCACATCTGTGCAGTGAAAATGAAATTAATTAGGGAGAGGAAACAGCTAACACCAAAGGCCCAAGAGGGAAGTGTAGAGATACAAAATTCATTATCGTCCATCATTTCGGTGTTCTAGATAATTTCCCTCCAATGCGCCTCTGAAACAAACAACTGTCCTTGTATTCTGTTACTCAGTTTCACAAGCTTAGAGTCTGAATTGAATTTGGCATCAGCCTTGAGTTGGGAGAAACTGTATTAGTATCAAATGTGCTATCCTGATTACCAGTCTCTATCCTGCCTCTATGACTTTTGGGTCCTAATCATTGTCTGCCACAAGCCGTAATAATACCACTGTGACATGTGTCATGGTATTGTAGAAAGTTAGCACCCACCCTTCTCTTAGAACCGTGATGGTGAACGTACGGCACATGTGCCACAGGTGGCACGTGGAGACATTTCTTAAGGCATGCGAGGCGTTACCCTGTCAGGTCCAGCACACATGCACACGCTGGCCAGCTAATTTCAGCCTTCATTTTTGGTTTTCATGTTGAGCTGTTTTTCTCCCTCTGGAGGCTTCAGGGAGAAAAACAGGCAACCGAGAAGTCCATTTCTGAACTTCTGGTTTGTGCGTTGGGCCGTTTTTTGCCCTCTGGAGCCTCCGGAGGGTGAAAAACGGCCCAATGTGCAAAGCGTAAGTTGGAAAACGGGCCATTTCTGGCCTCTGGAGGACCTCTGGGGGGTATGGGGAGGCTGTTTTTTTCCCCCAGCTCCTAGAAAGCCTCTGGAACCTGAGGAGGGTGAAAAATGGGTCTACCATGCCATCACGTGCAAAAAATTGGGGAGGTATTCAGCACATGTGCAGGGTTGCGCACACATGCGCAAGGGTTACACGCATGCATGTGGGGAGGGTGCATAGAATTATGGGTGTGGGCACGCACATGCATGGCCCCCTCCACATTCCCCCCGCTTTTGGCACGTGGTGGCAAAAAGGTTAGCCATCACTGTCCTAGAAGAATGAAATATTCTAGGAAATATTAAAAAGGCAGAATATTTCCCCTAAAAGAGAAACAGAAATGTGAAAGAACCCAGAAACTCAGCCCCAGCAGATATTTTGATCTCAGCAAGACAAAAGACTGGACCATCTTATCTACAAGGCAAAAGACCTTTAGCTCCTGGGTGATAGGATTAGCCCTCACTCAAGATCCAAACCAGGACAAAACCGTTAAGCCATAATAGGAATTGTCCAAAATCCCTTCATTACCTCACCCAGCAAGATTCAATCAAGACTGGGGCTCAAAACAAAGTTACCCCTGCATGGCCCAATGAGAGTCTGACAACCAATCAGAATACATTTCCTTCACAGGAAGGAAGAGGAAGCAGGTTCAAAGCCCAAAATTGGGTATACATCTCTTTCTCCCTCCCCCACCCATATGTTTGATTGCCCAGGACCTCAAACCATGTAGTTCTGTCCCCCGTTAAACCATCTTTCCAAACAACTTCCATGTTTCCAGTGTCTTTCTCCCCACTTGAAACTGAACCCGGATGAACCCGGACATTTCTTCCAACAGTATCATGAGATATAAAAGTAAACATTAGAAATTAGCCAGCTACCAACCTTGAAAATGTAAAAATTCCCCCATTCATGGTTCCAAAACAAGACAGGGAAACCAAGATTGGAATCACAGAGATAAGGCTCTGGAAAGCTTTCCGTGCAAAACTCTGATGGGGGAAGAAAGGCATGGTTGTAATTCACATATGTGAAACGCTGCATGAATCAACCCAGCTGCGAACAAAAACCACCAGGAGGCCTTCAGAGATGTTAGGGCACCAACTCAACAGTATTTCATTTCTAGTTTTACACCTGCTTCTTCCTTATGTCTCTAATATTATAACTGCTTGCTTCATCAGTCTTTAAGAAAATCTTTGGAAATACTCTTAATTAATCTTGAAATATTATGTGCTTGTACATATCTGTGCATGCATTGATCTATCTCTATACTCTCTATATTTTTATCTCTGTCTCAGTAGTTGTTCAAATCTGGCAACTTTAAGTTTGCGGACTTCATCTTGCAGAATTCCTCAGGTTGCATGCGAAATCCCATTTCAGAACTTTCAGTTCTACAAAAATAATAATATATAATGGAAAATTTAAAACATCTTGAGATAGATAGATAGATAGATAGATAGATAGATAGATAGATAGATAGATAGATAGATAGATAGAGATAGAGATGTATGTATNGTTGCCGTGTGTCAAACGTGTGTGCATGTGCATGCCCACACCCATAATACAATGCACGTGCAACCCCCCATGCATCCCACCCCCATGCATGTGTGCATGACCCCCCTGCACTCCCCGATGCATGCATGCATGTCCTCCACATGCACCCAGCTCCCTGCGCATGCACAGCACAGTCCTGAAGAGCAGTTGCCAGCAGGAGGCAGTGGAGGTGGGCTAGGGTGATTGCTGGCATGCCCTCAGAGTGGCCAATAGGTTCACTATCACGGCTATATTTTGTCCACTACTGTTTATACAGCTAGTCCTCAACTTACGACCACAATTTGGCCCAAAATTTATGTTGTTCAGTGAGACATTTGTTAAGTGAGTTTTGCCCCATTTTGCGACCATTGTTGCTTTGGTTGTTAAGGGAATCACAGCAGTTCATAAGTTAGTGACCTGGTTATTAAGTGAATCTGGATTCCACATTGACTTTGCTGGTCAGAAAGTCGAAACAGGACACAGCAACGGTCATAAATATGAAGCAGTTGCCAAGCATCTGAATCTTTATCACATGACCATGGGGATGCTGCAAAAGTCGTAATTGTGAAAAACGGTCATAAGTCACTTTTTTCAGTGCCATTATAACTTTGAATTGTCACTAAATGAACTGTTGTAAGTCAAGGATTACCTGTTTAGTGACAAGCTGGTTCAGTGTTGGTGAACCTTTTCGGCACTGAGTGCCAAAACAGGAGCATGTGCATGCACAGGTGTGCCAGAAATTTGAATAGCAGCTCCCCAGGACACATGCGCACACTGGTCACCTGGTCTTCCAGTTTCTGGTGTGCATGTGCCACGAAGGCCGGCTGGCACCAGGGAGCTGCTGTTCCGGTTTCTGACGCTCCCACAGATGCAAAGACCAGTTGGCGGGCGCACACATGCGCACCGGAACCTGGAAGAGCAACGGGTGATGACTGGTGTGCCTGGAGAGGTGGCTCTGTATGCCACTTCCGGCATGCATGCCATAGGTTTGCAGTCACGGAGCTAGTTGGTTTTTTGTTTCCCAGCTATTAAGGAACCTCACAAAGAAGATGTTCCATCATTATTTGCAGGTTTCCATCTAATAGAGATATATGACCTTAACTCCAGCCACATTTTTTTCACTTCTTTGTTTTCCCCTATGCACACCCACCAATATCTGATTGAGAATTCACAGTTTTAATTATTTTGAAAACTTCAATCTGATCTATGGAGTTTACATGCAATCCTCATTTAGTGACAGCAGTTGGCACTGGCAACTCGATCACTAACTGACACAGTTGCTAAGTAGAATATTACGTGACCGCAACTGCTTATGAGTTTATTACAGCATTATTTTTTTCATCACCATGAGAAAAGAACAAAAGTCCAAAGACTGTATGTAGCAATTTGTGTTTATTTGTACAGTAATACCAAGAATGATTGTCCTATGAAACATTACAGTTTATTTATTCGCATATGAAACATTAGGAAAAATCAGGTGATAGATAGATAGATAGATAGATAGATAGATAGATAGATAGATAGATAGATAGATAGATAGATAGATAGATAGATAGATAGATAGATAGA